TCAAGTGAGCACTCAGCAGATCCATGGGGGGAGGGGTCTGCTTCCTGGGGCCAGAATGGTTCCTGGAGGGGTGGCATCAGGTTCTCATCTGGATCCAGAACTCTGCTGCAGCTTTTTAGATCAGCTGGAGGCTCTGACAGAGTTTCTGGGTTGGAACAGAAACAGAGAACCAGCAGAACTAGTGAAGTTCTGCTCCTCTGAGACTGGAAGCTCCTCATTTAGGGTCATAATGAGGGAAGAAGGCAGAAAGTTGTTTAATGAGAGTCAGAATAATAATCAGCGTTCCTCTCTGAGGGAGCATAACCCAAAGACAAGCCCCCAGAGAGACTCAAGAACCAGAAAAGTTTCCAGAGGGACTAAAGAACCAGTAGGTTCCTCTCTAAGAGACTAAATAACCAAATGGTTCCCCTCTGAGGGACTCAGATCTTGGGACGCTGACATGATGTGGCCTGATCTCCTTCTTAAACCTCGTTTCTCAGCTGCGTCTAACCTCCTCTGCTCTCCTTCCAGGAACTTCACTGACCAGCTGAGGAAGATCTCGAAGGACGCGGGGATGCCGGTCCAGGGCCAGCCCTGCTTCTGCAAGTACGCGCAGGGGGCCGACAGCGTGGAGCCCATGTTCAGGCACCTGAAGAACTCTTACGCCGGCCTGCAGCTCATCATCGTCATCCTGCCGGGGAAGACGCCCGTCTATGGTAGGCCGGCCAGTCCGTGGTCCCCTAACCTGACCTAGACCTAGACAGGGCCTGAACTGTCTCTTCCCCCCCAGCCGAGGTGAAGCGGGTCGGGGACACCCTTCTGGGAATGGCCACTCAGTGCGTTCAGGTGAAGAACGTGGTCAAGACGTCCCCCCAGACACTGTCCAACCTCTGCCTGAAGATCAACGTCAAGCTGGGAGGCATCAACAACATCCTGGTGCCACACCAGAGGTAACCCCCCCCCATCCCCCAGGTGCCCCCCCCCACAGCCACCCACCCCCGCCCCCCCACCCCCCCTCTCTGTGGCCTCCCCCCCACAGGCCGTCGGTGTTCCAGCAGCCCATCATCTTCCTGGGGGCTGATGTCACCCACCCCCCAGCTGGAGACGGCAAGAAGCCGTCCATCGCAGCGGTGAGCGCGCACGCCATGCGTCTGGGGGATAAGCCCCGCCCCCACACTGACCCAGGGTCTTCAGGTGCCACTCTGCTGTAGAAACGCAGACAAATGTAAATTAGGAGCAGCAGGGTCGAAAAAGGAGAAAATGATCCCATCAGAGGTCTCAGAAACACCAGAAAATCATCAAAATAGATTAAAAAAAACTACAAAAAAAGCTTAAAACTGCCAGGATTCACAGCATGAATCGACTAATTTAGAATTAATGGAACCATTTTATGATTTGGAACGAATAATGAATAATAATAAATAATGAATCCAGCTGTGAATTCAAACTCAGCTCAGACGATCTGTCACTTCACGCCGATCCGATTTTGCCGCCTTTTTTCTGTCAAACAACTTAAAATTTCTAGGACTGATAATACCTGTTGTTTTCCTGATAGTTTTATCTGTGTAATAAAGGAGGAAAACTGGCTTTCTGCTCCAACAGGGGGCCCGGTGGAGCCCCCCCTGAGCTGAAACTGAGCCCTGAATGGTGTTTTGGTGTGAACTCCCACATGCTGTCGGGGGGGCGGCTGGTTTAGGGGCTCATCTCTGACCCCCCCCTTCTCTTCCCTCCACAGGTGGTGGGCAGCATGGACGCCCACCCCAGCAGGTACTGCGCCACCGTGCGGGTCCAGAGGCCCCGGCAGGAGGTGATCCAGGACCTGGCCTCCATGGTGCGAGAGCTCCTGATCCAGTTCTACAAGTCGACCCGCTACAAGCCCACCAGGATAATTTTCTACCGGGACGGCGTGTCCGAGGGCCAGTTCAGACAGGTCAGGACCCCCCCGCCCCCTCTGGGAGTCCCCTCTGGACCCAGACCTATTCATCTGGACCCCCTTTAGCCCTCAGCCCCCCCTCTGGGAGTCCCTCTGGACCCAGACCTATTTTTCTGGACCCCCTTTAGCCTTCAGGCTCCCCTTTAGGAGTCCCTCCAGTCATCTGGACCCCGTTTAGCCCATCGGCCCCCCCTCTGGGAGTCCCTCTGGACCCAGAACTATTCATCTGGACCCCCTTTAGCCTTCCTGAAGGCTCTGCTTCCCATTTTGCTTTAAAAACTCTGGAACCAGAACCTGCTAGAACCTCCATTTGTGATGGAGCTACTCCCTCAGAGCTTAACTCCAGGTTCTGGTTCTGGTTCTGGTTCTGAGCTGAAACTGGGGGAGTGTGAGCTCTGCTGCTGCTTTTGTGGCTCTCCAGATGTTTCCTGTCTGACTGCAGCTGTGTGCAGGTGCTGTGCTACGAGCTGCTGGCTG